GAACGACTCCCTCTCTAGTTGTTTCTTGAAGCTCGAGTCTCTCTTCTGTTGAGGTCCTTCGATTACGAGCTCCCCTCCTAGTACAGTGTCTCTGCGCTCTCGCTCGCAATCCTTAATGGAAGGTCTCTCATATGTATCGAAGTTGATGTCGATCCTCTGTGACTTGTACGCCAAACTAGTAGTCAGGATGTTTCGTGAAAGCTCTCCGTACGTTTCAGGCTGATCTGGCGACAGGCAGTGAAATTGAAAATTACCATCAATGGTATGAGTTCCGACGTATGTTGGGCTACCGTGGTCACTGACAGTATCTTCCAGAAGTTTGAACAACTTGTTTTCTGTCTCTTATACACATCTAGATGTGTATAAGAGACAGTATATATATATACTAATAAACTATCAGAATACAAACCCACTGGAAAAAGAAATAGCGAAATTTTGCTCTGAAAGACCCAACAATTCAATTTCTGGACTCGGATCGGGGTAAATTGAAAAAACTATGGCATTATTTTAGTCACTTCTAGTTTTGTTATAAATGTTAACTAGTTACTCTTTACTGTCTTTATCAAATTTGATTGAAATGATCATAATGCCAATTTCCAAGATGGCGTTTATCTTGGCGGGGAAAATGGTTATTTTTGTAAGATTATTTTTATTCTCAAAGTATACAATACAATCTTATCAAAGCAATGCACACATATATCCTCATCATATTCGTCATCGTCATCATCATTCTCATTGTTGTCTAATCATCATAATCATCGATCGTTGTAATCATCATCGTCATCACATCATACTCATCCATCGTCATCGTCCTCATCTTCATCACGTCATCATCAATCATCTATCGTCGTTATCATCACATAATGTTCATCCTCATCTTTCATCATTTTCTTTATCATCATCCTCATCATCATATTCATCCTCATTCAACATCATCCTCGTCATCATCAATGGCGTAGCCAGCTATTTGCACAGTTGGGACAGTCCCACACTGTTTTTCTAATGGGTCCACAAAAAAAAATTGGTCAACACATTTTAAAAATGGGTCCAAATTATGTAATTTTATGCATAAAATGGATCCATATTTCTCGTATTTAGCTAAAAGTGGGTAAAATTTAAGAAAATGTGTCCAGATATTTCATATTTTTGCTTAAAATGGGTCCAGTCCACATTGTTTAAATTTACACGTAAAGTTGGTCCATCATCCATTATCGTCACCCTCATCACCATCCTCACCAATCATCGTTATCATCATCACCTTCATCCTACTAATCACCCTCATCCATCGTCACCATTATCCTCATCATCATCAACCTCATCCTTATCCTCCTTATCATCATCACTTATCCATCATTCATCATCATAGTTCTTATTATTATCATCATTGTCATTATCATCCTCATCATCATCCTAATTACAGTCATCATCTGTCATTATCATCACCCTTGTCATCATCATCAACCACATCATCATCCTTATTAATTATAATTATCAATCCTCATCATGATTATGAAGAGGAGGACGACAAGAATGAGGATGAGGGGCAGAGGGAATGTTTCTCATCATTCGTCATTATTAACCTCATTAACATCATAATTCTCATCAATCATACTCATCATTATCACGATCATCCTCATCAACAACCATTATCATCAATCATAATCATCATTATCCTTATTTTCATCATCATCAAACTCATCATCCTAATCCTTCTCCT